ATTCATCTGCTCAGGCAAAGGGATGATGATGCAGTTCAGGAAAATCCTCCACTCACTTTTCCACCCAGACACATCTTCAAAGTGATATGATTGGATGTGGTACCCATAGACCATAATTACCGTATTTTTCGCCCTATAGGATGCACTTTTCCCCCTCCAAAAATGAAGGGGAAATGTGTGTGCGTCCTAATGGTGCGAATGCAGGCTTTCGCTGAAGCCTGGAGAGCGAGAGGGGTTGGTGCGCACCGACCCCTCTCGCTCTCCAGGCTTCAGGAAGCTATCGGCAGGAACTCCCGCGGGCTCCGAAGGCTTGCGGATAGCTGCCTGCAGCCCGAAGCACTGTGCACCCCGGGCTTAGGGCAGCTATCCGCAAGCCTGCGGCACCTGGTGGGAGTTCCCGCCGGGCTCTGCAGGTTTGCGGATAGGTGCTTGCAGCCCAAGGTCCGGGCTGCGCGGCGGGCTACAGCGCCGCGCTCCCTGGGCTTCGGATAGCAGCAAGCTCCGGGAGCGATGGCGAGGTTGAGCGCAACCTCGCCATCGCTCCCGGACCCGTTCTGGGGGCTGGGGTCGGGGGAAGCTCGGGCTTCCCCTGTCCCCCGCCCCGCAAGCTCTGGGAGCGATGGCAAGGTTGACCGCAACCTTGCCATCGCTCCCGGACCCCCAGCCCCAAGGCTAAAAACGAAGCAAAGACAGCTAGCGGGATCCATCCCGCTTACTGTCATGGCTTCTTTGCTCTTTGGGGCTCGGGGGGAAATAATTTTTTTTCTTTATTCCCCCCCCCAAAAAAGTGCACCCTATGGGCCAGTGCGCCCTATAGGGCGAAAAATACGGTAATTGTGATTTATATTAGGCAGTATATGCTGCCCTATAACCAAGTTCTCAGAGTGGCTTACTTTTTTTAGAAAATATATATTATTCTTAAAGCTTTCTTGGTTTTAAAAAAAGTATGTGCAATGTCTCTTTTTTCAAGTTAACATTTTCTACAGCTCAGTTTCATTTGTTGAGACATTAGTGTTACATTAGGAAGAAAAAGGGGAAAGAGGGAGAAAGGTGATGGGGGTAGAGGTGAATGGGGTGGGGTTGGGTGGCAATACTTCTATTCTGTTTAATGTATGTGTGGGGCTCAGAGTGGCTTGCTAAAAGAAATATATGTTAAGTATTGCTAGATTATAACAAAAGGGTGACTTAAAATAGAGTATGGAAGTTGTTTAACTGATAGGCCTTCTGTATCACTGCTTACCATATTTTTCTGTGCATAAGACTATATCCCCCCCCCCATTTTTTCAAGTTTAAAATCGGGGGTCGTCTTATACACGGATAAAGCGTTTGGGGGATTTCTTTATTTTGAGTCCCAAAAAATAGGGGTCGTGTTATACACGGAAAAATATGGTATATATAAACTCTGTCTGCCTTCAGTCAGCCATCTCTGTCAGGCTCTTTCTCCTTCTCCTCCATAGTCTCAATATTGCCCTGGTAGACCTCAGCAGGAAGGAGAACGGGGATTAAACTGGAATTAGTTGGCCAGTCATTGCCACTGGTTCCACCTCCTGCCTTCTGCTCTGCCATTTCCACTGGGTACCAATCACCACTGGTTGGATGGCCAAGTGTGCATTTGAACTTCGATTCAGCCCTAGTCCAACACTCTAACCTCAGCATCACATGGCAAGGAAATGTGGTAGGGCAACTGAGGAGAGTGATTATGCTAACAGCGACCATATACATGTCAGTAAGACACTAGATGCTGTGCAATATTGCTATATTGCAATATTATCTGAAGGAGCGTCTCCTCCCCCACCGTTCTACCCGAACACTGAGGTCCAGCGCCGAAGCCCTTCTGGCGGTTCCTTCACTGCGAGAAGCCAAGTTACAGGGAACCAGGCAGAGGGCCTTCTCGGTAGTGGCACCTGTCCTGAGGAACGCCCTCCCACCAGATGTCAAAGAGAACAACAACAGACATCTGAAGGCAGCCCTGTTTAGGGAAGCGCTTAATGTTTGATGTATTAATAGTATTTTAATATTTTGTTGGAAGCCGCCCAGAGTGGCTGGGGAAGCCCAGCCTGATGGGCGGGGTATAAATAATAAACTACTACTACTACTACTATTATTCCAAATTAAAGTATTAAGTCATAAGGTGACCACCAAGTCCCTGGGCCCATAACCCCAAAGAACACACCGAGAAATGAGAGGTGCTCTCTAGCTTGGGCCAGTGCAGATCTTTTGCGCTGCAAAAACCATATGCAGATACTGGAATAAATATAGACTGTGAACAGTGCTCCTATTGTAGAGTAGAATTCTTACTTTATTCTAAATATACCTCTTGTTTTGCTATAAGCATTCTAATTCTAGTATTACATCAGAGGGCTTCAGTTTTAGGGCACTCATTGGTGTCTAGAATAAACTGCATATATGTTAATAACCTGCCATTTATCAACAGTTTCTTACTCTGAAAGAGGCACCATTAAACAAAGTTATGTAGTGATCGAAATGCAGGGTTAATCTTTTTAAAAGGGGGGATTCTAGCCTGTAACGGCCCTGTGGGCGATTTGTGGCTTATCTGTACCTTTTGCCTGCTGCTTCTGGCAATTTTTTGTAAACAATGCCAGCTGCTTGTTATGTCCTTGTTTATAGTTAGATGGATGGGCAAATTGCAGCATGGGGCCGGGGGGTGGGGTGGATAAAGAGGGATTTATTTTTTTTAAGTCTAATTGAAAACGATTGGGCTCTAAGCATTTTGCACACTTAAAAAAAAAAAAGATGATGCTTTAAATGCTAAGTTCTGCATTTAAAGCAGGAATTCCATTGCCACTGACTTTATTATTCCTAATAATTTATATGCTCATATTAAGGGGCAGGAGAGACTTTACAGTAAAATCCTTCCAAGAAGGTTTATAGTTTGCATTAGGGTTGGGGGGGGGGGAAGTCTCTCCTGCACTGCCAACTCCTTAGATTGCTTGTGGAGTCTCTCCTCATAATTTCAAACAGACAATCCTACTCTCCTATTGGAGAGACTTCTCCTATTGGAAGGGACGCGGGTGGCGCTGTGGGTTAAACCACAGAGCCTAGGACTTGCTGATCAGAAGGTGGGCAGTTCGAATCCCCATGACGGGGTGAGCTCCCGTTGCTCGGTCCCTGCTCCTGCCAACCTAGCAGTTTGAAAGCATGTCAAAGTGCAAGTAGATAAATAGATACCGCTCTGGCGGGAAGGCAAACGGTGTTTCCGTGCGCTGCTCTGGTTCGCCAGAAGTGGCTTGGTCATGCTGGCCACATGACCCGGAAGCTGTACTCCGGCTCCCTCGGCCAATAAAGCGAGATGAGGGCCACAACCCCAGTCAGCCACGACTGGACCCTTTACCTATTGGAGAACGTCCAAACTGAGTTGGAGGGTAGGGAACAGATTATCCTGAGGAGTTGAAGACATTTGTTGTCCGGGGTCTGATTTCCGCCTAGGAAATGTTGATAAGTCCGAGATGTTGTGTGTTATGGTGAACATCGTGTAGGTTTACTGTAAAATAGGCACAGACAGATTGGTCCCCTTGGATTCTACTGACAGTGCATTCCCCTCTCTAGGGACATCATCCTCTCCTTAAAATTAGTAAGAGACCATATTGTGGCTACAGGTAACATGTAGAACTTCATTTTCTTAGGGTGGAAAAGTGTGATGGACTTTAGGAAATCCTGATGCCTGTGACATCTGATATTATTAACTTTCTATATGTTAAGGGTTAATTCAAAATATTTCTTGTTTGTTTCATTACTTCGTTCTTGAAATACTTGTATTGAGGGGAAGTGATTGATTAGACAAAATAAAAGAGTATTTATTTGAGTGGCCATGTATGTAACAGCCCACAGGCTGAAGCCAGCACATGAAGCAATTATATCTGACCTTCTGGCGCCTCACCAATTTAAACAGGGTTTTCCCACACTTTCATTTTTAGTGAAATGAAAAGTGATTTCAATTATTATTATTATTTAAATATTATTAATATCTATTAAGTTTGTATACCATCCTTCATCTGTAGATCTCGGGGAGGTTCACAGCATAAAAATACAAGATAAGAACACAATATACATTAAAAAAGAAGAAGAAACCAAACCAGTAGCCCCTCTCCCCCCCATCCTCTCCCACAAACACATTTAAAGGGATATAGGATGTTTCATGCTGTAAGAAATGTAGATATCTTCCGCTTTAATGTTATCTTTCTTGGATTTTGCAACATGCAAATATTATTTGTATATAGTGCAGAAATCCCGTGGCCCTACAGATGTTGTGGGACTCCTTCTCCTATCTGTCCAGTCAGCATGTGGGATGATGGGAGTTGTAGTCCAGCAACATCTTAAGGCGCAGAGGCTCCTCGTACTTGGTGTAATAGCTTCTCCCCAAGTCATTTGACATCAACACAAAACGGAGCCTTTACAACACGAAACTGAGCCCTTTAGTGTCATTGAAACAATCTTTCAACAGAGATCCTATACTAAGCTTTAAAAGTTTGCTGAAAATTTTTCTTTGCCTCCAGACTTCTGCAGGCAATTAAGAAAAACAAAGCTGTAATAGTTAGCTGGTGGTCTGTTTTAAAATTGTGTGTGTGTGTGTTTCCTCCCGCCTTGAGTGTATATAATTTGTTACTTTTAATGAAATTGTGGCGTGCAAGTATTTTTGTAAATACAGTGCCTGACCTCTGCTACATGGCAGAAACTTTATTATGGAGCCAGACTATTTCTGAGGACAGGAGAGTTAGTTTGTGCAGCAAAAAAACATATTCTGGGCATTATCTCTGGAGAATAAAGTTGTCACTGACTGTACAGAACTTGGCTCTATCTGTATACCAAGAGTTTGAAACCACACATATAGAGCTTGCATTGATAGAGCTTATAAAACAATAGCCTCTGAATCAGATTGTTGCAGTTAACATAATTTCCCTCATAATCTTATTTGTGGCAGGTGCAATATAATCACCATGTAATCTATTTTATAATTCATTATTGTTATTTTTCCACTGCAGTTGAACAAGTAAAGGGGTCATGGCACGCTTAACGAAAAGGCGTCAGGCAGATACAAAAGCTATCCAGCATCTTTGGGCGGCTATAGAAATCATCCGAAACCAGAAGCAAATTGCTAACATTGACCGTATTACGAAGTAAGTGTCATTTAAATACTACTAATAAAAATAAAAATGGTATGACCCAATGAGAAGGTGTCAGCAATAAAAACTGAGTAGCACAGAAACATTTTTGCCATATAATATATATATTATTCTCTCATATGAATCTGTGTGCTCTTGTACTTTATATTTCAAGTCATGGACCATGCATTTGAAAAAGGAAACGGTTGTGTTGAATTGAAATTGACCTGTGGTCTGTCTTGTCCAGTCTCCTGCCATTAATAGCACCTGACACATGATAGGAAGATGGAAAAAGTTGTTCTCAAGTGGAAAATAATATCCCTACTTCAAAGATTGTGTATTAATGGTGGTATTCAATCCTAGTTATACTTGTAATAGACCCACCAAAGTTAATGCACATGACTAACCTAGGTCCATCCCTATATAGCAAAAGGTTTTCAACCCTATATAGCTAACCCTATATAGCAAAAGGTTTTCAATCTTTAAAACAAAACCAAATAACTCTTCCTGCTTAATAACTGCATGTGAAGACTTGCTGTGGGGAAAAAATTATTTGCAACTTTTATGTCCATACGGAACTCTCACTACAACCAACTCTTCCCCCTACTACAGTCACTGGCTGCATTCAGACTATACAGTAATGCCAAATCTCTGGAAAGGACCATAGCTTAATGGTAGAACAACTGCTTTGCATGTGACAGGTCCAGGTTCAATCCTTGACATGTTCGGTTACAATGAGGAAGCAGTAAAAAGGGAAATGCCCTCTGTGCCGCAGCCAGAGTAAACAATAATGGGCTAGCTGGAAAAATAATTTGACGTGGTGAAAGAAACTTTCATTTGTTCCATAGTTCATGTAGCCTGTACTCCACTATGCTTCCTGTTCTTATTTTGTGGCAACCCACATTTTGTCCTTTTACGCAAACTGGATGCACGAGTCATCATTTGATTGAATTTAGAGATCTTGGTTTATGGGCAAACTTTGGCTTGTACAAACCATGGTTTCCTGGGTTCAGGTAAAACAGCAAACTGGTTTGCTGAAAACAACAAAGGGAAGCTTCCAATCTCCACTAGTGCCAGCTCCTTCTTGCAGCAGCAAACCAGTGAGTGAGTTGGCCTCTGTCTGTCTCCAGAGACAATGGAGTCTGCCTCCAGGGGTGAAGCCAAACTCCAGGAGTGAAGCCAGGCTGATGTGGTCCAAAGGAAAGAATAGCAATACTTTTGGCACCAGCTTGGCTGTAGGAGCTGCCAAAAGGACGCGTACAAGGCTAAGGAGTAAACCATATGCGACAGCAGACCATGCTTGAATAGAATAATTGTTTCATGCAGTGTGGGTGCGTCTTGCTGATACCTGCATGTCTGCTTGCAGCCACAGTGGGGTTACCACATATCATGCACCATGAATGGCTACTAAAGACAGCAGTTACATACAAGCGCTTCCTGCTTTTAGATGCCACCTCTGTTAACGTCTTACAATGTGATGATGTTACGTCATTTTGTTGTGGCCTCTATATAAGAAACGTCTGGCTTCTGGTTGTCAAATGCGGGAGGTGAAGGCTCCCTGGTGAGCAAAAACCTTATTCCACTTCCAAATGGGTTTTCAGCAACCTTTTGGTTGCTTGTTGATTTTGTACGTTGAATAGTTTGTCCTGCTTTTCTGTTTAGGTTAAGAGAAGTCTAAACATCCTAGATAGGGTGTTTTCCTTGCAGCTAACTACACTAGTAATAATACTAGTAATAATAATCTACAGCCATCTCATTTTAGCAACACTGATACTTGATTTCTTAAATTCAGCTTATTTCCTTCCCCTCCTCCCTAAGGAGCCCAGGGCAGCAAACATACAAGCAATAAAACAATTAAAATATCTAAAAATGGAACTCCCAAAGGCTAGTAAAAATAACGTTACTGGTGCATGGTTGCAGTACGGCAGTGAAGCAGATGCAATGATTGGCGGCTGTCGTGTTGGTCCCAGGCTTCAGAAGGCTGCTTAGCTGCACGAGGGACAAGAGATTTGGCTCTCAAGGGTATCTCTTTCTTCTCTCCATGAGCATCTTGTCCTCTTGCTGTTCCAACTCCCCCCTCCTCAAATACCCTTATTTGCAGCATGACTCCCATATCACTCAAGAGGCTCTACAAACTCCCTCAAATCTGAGAAGCGTGCAAACTTTGAACACAGAGCCCACCTTGTTGCTGCGCAGCAGGAGCTGGTAGTTTCTGCAGAGAACAGCAAACATATTAATCTGTCCGAGGGTAGCAAAATCTACCCTACTACTCATTTGACCAGCAGAAGACAGAGCAGTGCGTACTGATGGTATAGGAACTGAGTATTACTGTGTTGGTTATTTGAATTGGCTGTGTTCTTAATAACAGTGAATTGTTCCGTTCTGAATAACGTGATTGTTGTGGCATGTCAGGGATGTGATGATACTATTATTCTTAATGGATTTATATCGGGCGGTAAACCACCGAGTGCAGTAATTGCAGAAAAGGTGTATAAACCTGACGACTTCTCGGTTTGCAGCACAGTCGTAACCAGAAGTAAGTCCCACCGAATTCAGTTTGGGGACTTACTCCCAGGTAAGTTGAGTTAGGATTTCTGGAGAGTTATAAACTGAGCATCGCTACTGGGTACATCAAACTAGATTGAATGGGATTTTTTTTTAATAAAAAAAAATACCCAGCTTAATTTATTTAAAAAATGAATTTTACCAGCTGCTAGATTACAGACTGCACTATACACCTGGTTCTTTCTGTTTACTGTCTGGGCTTTTCCTTTGGAGGAGGAGAGTGCCTGCCTTGTGGAGGGACATTTTTGTAGGAATGCTGATTCAGCAAGTCTGAGTATTAAGTAGGCCAAACAGATAGACCGAGGGAAGCAGTGTAATGAGATGGGAACAAAATAGCAATCTGCGAGAGATCTCTCAAAATGTGAAAGCGCCATTTAAGAAAGGCCATTTGAAAGTTTCCTCAAGTTTTACATGGATGGAGCAGGGAGATGGTTAGTGAATAATGCTATTGCAGTCTTTGAATTTCTAACCAGTGCTTTAATTTTGCATATTGCATAATAAGCGCAGAAAATGCAACAGCAGGCCAGTTTGGGGCTGATTTGCTGATATGTGTAAATGGCCTTGTTTACAGGGTATGTCTTGTTCGACTTCAGACCCCCCCCCTTTTTTTTACTGTCTTTCATTTTCTAATGTGGTTGACCTTGATGAAAATCCAAATCCCTCTAGCATACTTCATGTCATAACAGATTAATACTAACATAAACAAAAAATAATAAGCCATTACCATCATTAAGGAAAGACTACACTTGCATTTATCATTAACCTTGCATTCAGGTTTAGATAAGCTACATTGTTAAAAAAAAACAGTTTTTCTTTTTTTGCTGAAATGTAACAATTTGGTGTCTGCTTTTCACTTTTTAAGATACTTTTTTTGTATGGTTTTATGTTTTATTGCTGCTTTGATACAATTTTATAACATAGCGGTATATAAATATTTTGATAAATAATAAATAAACTTGCTAGATTTTCTCATAATATCTATTTCCCCTTTTCATATTGCATTTGGCTGGCATCTTTTCATAGTTTTGTCTACATAGAGTCCTCTAAATGATGGTTGCGTTCCATCCAGCTACCAGAGGAAAGGAGGGTGGGATAATGGGCCGTATCCAATTAACGTGTCCCATCAGCTCAAGGATTTATGCTTGCACGTGGAAAATTTCCACCCTGCAAGCCCCAACTCTAATCTTGGGTTCTCCAACTCTCCGGATAAGATTGGGGGAGGGTCGGGAGAAGAAGAGGAGTGATTCTGTTGCACAAGCTTAAATCTTTGCATTGGCGGGGCACATTTGTTGGATATGTCTCAATATATTTGCTGTCTTGTTTCAGTGCTGGATAGATTTCATTAGCTTTGAAACTTGCATGTCTTGTTTCAGGGGGGTTTGCACTGTAAAATTGGTTGGTGGATTGTGCTTTTTGTTGTTGTATTGGCTTACATATTCCCAAATGTGTTGTTCTGTGAAAGGGTCTACATTTGTTGTTTGAATGGCACTTCTGAGATCACGAGATTTGATCCTAAGTACCGGTGGATCTAAAAGAGACTAACGAAAACAGTAACTAATTAAGAGAAAAGCAGGAACTAATTGAGACAACACATCATTTTGGTAGGCAGGAAAGCAGAGCTGAATTCATGGAAAGCATATCTATAATAAGAGTTGCTGCGTTCAAATGTCAAACTAAAGTTTAGCTTGATGAGAATTATCCTCAGGAAGGCTCAGGTTCCCACAATCTCTCATTCATCCAGTATAACCGTGAAAAGGAGATTGAAACTTTCATTTCCGCTCTCTGATAAATTATATGTTTATGATCTGTAGACCAAGTAAACACAACCTTGAATAAGGCATTAATTATAGTTAGCACCCTGCCTGAACCCTAAACTGTGGCTCATGTTGACTTAAGGTTTGTTTAAACAAGCCAGCTTCATAATCCATTATTTGAAGTTTGCTAGTTTCAAATAAACCATGGTTAACCTTCACCACAGCTTGTCAGTTTGGACGACACACCAAGCTATGGTTAATCTAACCTGGAATCAAAAGCTGATAAACTCTTCTTCACAGGCTCATTCAAGAGGAGAGGGTAAGCCTGCATACTCAAGGTTCATTGTGATTTGCTGTTGTCATGCAAATTGTGCCTTCCTGAGATACCTGAACCAGTCCAGTGTTAAATCTGTTTTGGTTTTGTACCATTGACTAAAGGTCTGTCTCAGGGGTGAGAAATTATTACTCCAAGAGACCTGAGTAGTTGCCCAGTAATGGGCAGCAGACTGCATGTCGTATCTATTGACCATTCAACTCCATGACAAACAAAACGCAGAGGGTGAGCTGGCAGAGTAAAAAACACATTTTTTCCCCTTGAGGATGATAGCAGGAATAAATTAGCAGTTACGATGTTAAGGGAAGCCCCTTGTTGAAATCAGCTTTAAACCGATCAAAAGCCCTTTCATTTACAGAGGC